TTAAATCCTTTATTCATTCCCAGTTTTAACTTCTGTATGGTGCAAGTTGGTGGTCTAGATTAAATTTTTTGCATGAATCTGCTATTTGTCCAACACCAATAATCATTATGTTTTTATTTTGGCTTTGTAATATCTTTAATGAAACAATATAAAATTTCCTCTATGTTAATTGAGTCATACTTTCTCTACATATGGCCCTTAAAAAAATCCCCTTGGGCACAGTCCCATCTGTTCTTTGATTTTCCTTCCACTGATCACAAACCTAGGCTGTAGTCTGTGTCCTTTAAAAGGACAAAAGCAGACCCAGAGGCCTTAGTGCCTCCCACAGCATTCTCCTTCGCATGGGAGGTTCAGCGCACATCTCCATCCGGACCATGGCTGCCAGGGACAGTCAAAGCCTGAGAATCAAAGTGGCAGCATGGCATTGCCTTCACCAGCCTGTCTCCAGCAGCACAAAACCAGCCCTCCCACCCAGTGCTCTGGGAACGGCCTTCAGGGCGATGTGGTGGTTCTGTCGCCTGGCAGCCGAGCGTCCCAGGCTTCTCTTTGGGCCTGGGCCAGGGCCTTCGGAGATCTCTGTGCCCATGGTATAAATCTGAGTGAGATCAGACACAATGTTATCAATGACTGGCTTTGTAAGGTTGCCACTAAACACCTGCCACCATTGCTTCTCGGCCTCAGCCTCGGTGGGCACCTGGACCCCATAGACCTGCAGGGCCAGGTGGAGCACTGCCACCCCTATGTGCTGAGCATGGAATCAGACGCACAGCCCCCCGCAGTAGCTGTCCCACAGCAAGGCCCAGGCAGTGACGGAGATGGGGGTCTGTTTCCAGCTGTAAGGATTCAGCCAGTTCTTGAGGCAAATCGGGTAGTGGAGCAGGTACCTGTGTGGGTGCTGAAAGGAGACTTGGAAGCGCAGTACCCGCAGCACAAGGAGCTCGCACTGCACAATGCTGTCCCAGATCACCCATAATTGGGAGTCCAGCTCCAAGGGCTCGCTGCCCGGGTGGAAGTATCTGTTGGAAACGTTGATGATGTCACGGGTTTGCAGGGGCTGTTCTTCCACTTTGCCAGCCAAGTAAAGGGCAGACATGGCGACCAAGTAGGAGTGATAGACGTCCTGGTTGATCTCGTAGAAGAACTTATGGTAAGTGGCACAGGCGGTGGCAAGGGGAATGGAGTGCATCCCTAGCTTGACACCTGCCTCCTGGAGGAACCTTGTCACGCGGAAGTGCACCCTCATCTGGGGTGTGGGCCACCCTTGGCACCTGGTACCGTGTCCTCCTCTCTGCAGCTGTCCAGGCTAAGGTCCTCCCTGGGGCCCCGCCCAGAGGCCCCAGGACCCATGGGAAGGTCAAGAGTCTCCAGTATGGTGCTGGTGCCAGTTGAGTC